CCTGTTCCAGCCTGGCCTTCCTTTGAATCTGTCATTCCTATGAAAGGAAGCTGACAATCATTCCAGATTGTGTAGCAGTATCTTGAAGTGCAAAAATTGAACAAAACTAGCAAACTTTATTTTCAGGTCTAAATTTTAGTCTAGGGTGAACTGGCTCACTGTGTCATTTGCTCTTTTTCCAAAAATAACTCCCCCTTGGGCCCAGTCCTGAAAAAGTGAGCTGAGCCTAGATGAGAGGGCTACATTTTTATATTACATGCTGAACTAATGCATGGGAACTAGGAGAGGGGAGGAGGAATTAAAATCCTTGCTTTGACAGATGCTAAGCTACTGATTCTAGGGAAGAAGTTTGAGAAATGGTATAAACTACTTCAGACTAGTGGATCATATTGGCTGCCAGTTGATCCTCTGGTTTGAGATGGAAGAGTGTAAATACAACTTAAATAGTAGTTGTCATCTTTACAGTATCTTTGTTTTTAAACCTATATATGTAGTAGTTTTATTGTTCAACTTGTGTAGTGTGTGTACATATATTATGCAGTGATGTCTACGTAAGATGCTGAAAATGAAGTCAGAATACAAAATACCAAACACGGAGGTACTGCAGTCCGCAGAACTGACACACTTAGAAACCACTATAAAGAAGAGGAGGAGGTTGTGATGGATCAGCTGTCAGAAGAATGGGTGGAAAGCATATCCCCAAGAATATTTTGTATAGTGAGATTCAAGGCAGCTCTAGAAAGCAGGGTAGCCTTCTATGGCAGTACCACAATGTGCACAAAAATTGATATTAAGTCATTCAACATCAATGTAAAAAACTGAAAGGAGTGTGCAGAATCCCATCTGATCTGGAGGGAACATCTGGCTCTAGGTGCAGCTCACCATGAAGCAACTTTGATCCAGAGGATGGAAGCAAAGTGAGAAAGAAAAAAGTATAGGCTTGGACTTTAAATCAGACATCATATGGATATGTGAAACTTATAACAAGCTGTGTCACTCTCAAATTGGGCTCTTCAGCCACAAACAGATTCATCAGGCACTTGACTACGCCTCTTATATGTATACCATGATACAGAGGATTGATGATTGCCGCCCCCCCACACGCTATAACATTACTGTGCATATATATAGGCCACTGTAAAGCCTCTGGATCATTGTGTACACATAAGAGATCCAGTCAAATGTGTGTGTATATATGCCTTTGATGTTTATATAGACTAATAACACTGATTTTTGTTATCCTAGTTGATATTGACCTGGAACTTAATATTTTCATTCTTTCCTAGTTATAAAAGTAGACTTGAAAATAAATTAAGTTTGTTTGCTAAAATGTACCTGTTGCTCAAAAAACATGAGTCGTAGAACTACAAACTTCTCTATGGCAGTATCTGTTTGTGAGGCTCTAATTAAGGCTGTACCAGCACTTCCACTATAAAAGCCTCTTTTCAAGAGACTAACTCAGCAAAAAAATCTTTTCCTAAGACTAAAACTTGACACAGCAGTAGATTTTCAAAATCTGCTCTTAACTAGGTTTAGTGGGTTTTTTGTTTGTTCAGGCATTTTTCATCTCCATATTTTTGTGTTCAGAAACTCACAGGTGTACATGCAAACTATTTACATTTGCAGATATGAACGCCAAAAGATGGAGTTTCCACAGACCAGAGTTCTTCCATATGCAAAACTACAGTAGCATTTGCAATTGAGACACTATAGGACCCTTTTAAAATATCTGTCTTTCAACTTTGAAGCCAAGAAGAGTGGTTTTTATTAGAACAATAAAATATATAAGAACTGTTAATCCAGATCAAAGTGAGGATTCTTGCAGGCTAGTATTCTACCTGTGATGATGCCTAGTATTGGCTGATTCACAGAAAGATACAGCTGCTCCTTGTAATGAGCAGTTACGGAGTAAGCTGCCCACAGCTCTTCATCTTTTAATTCTCTGTTAAAACCCTCCTCTCTAAAGCTTAGGGACATCATTCTAGCTTTTGGTTACAGTCCTGCCCATTACTACATAGAACTTAATTAGTTTATGGCTAGTGTTACTTAATAGCTAAACCTATCATTTGTTTCTTGAGCTGCATATTAATCAGGATGAGTTTGAGAGTGCCCTCTCCTCTTGTATGCCTTAGAACTAGTAGTAATTGTTTAAGATATTGAGAAATGTTTTCTTTAATCTTGTCCTGATATGGCACATTTATAGATGAGAGGTGAAGTTACCCATTATTACTGCTTTATTAGACCTAGCTGCCTCTTTGATCTTCAGCATTGCACACTCGGTCTTTTTCTTGATCTGGATGCTTGTTGTTTTGTTCTATTAGGATATTTTGTGTTGTGAGTTACACCTATACAAATCATCCTATGTGGTCCTTTCAACCTGTAAGATAAAATGTTTTATTCTTGATACTCAGCTGTGGGGGTATGGCAACATATCCAGAGTCTTCTCTGTTCTTTCTGTATTCTAAAGTTTACAAGTAATATAGAATCTCATTGACTTTTTGGGGGGAGGAGGGGCACAAAACCCTGCAGGGTTTGGTTAAATGTTGCCTCTGAAAGTTCCTATTAGTTTACCACTTAAAAGTAATCCCCCCCCCCCCCCAAAAAAAAAAAAGTTAGGAATAAGGTAAAAGCAGGAACTCTGGGGAGGCGCAGGTAGGAGGGAAGTGAGAATCCTGTTGGAATGGCGTTTTCAGACAAGCAAAATTATGACCTAATTTCTTTCTGTAGACATCCTCTAGATTTTTACTCCCAGAAAGCACTAAGTTGAGTGAGTGAGCAAATAGATCACAATCATGGTGTTTTTGTTTCTTCATCTGTAAAAGGGTAGAATACACAGCTACCTTACAGGAATACTTTTACATCTGATGCATCTGAGTTTTAATCCATTAAATAGTCACCTCACCATTGCCTCAATCTCTGAAGAAAAGATCCTTCATTTCCTGTTAAACAGCAATGTAATACTGAAAAACTAAAGCCAGGTATTAACATGGTGCATACTAGAACATGGAAGCAACTTCAGTGTAGTCTACAGTATGTTTTTATTCCTCCTTCCCTTTTATTTTTCTAGGTTATTATCTTTCTTTGTGACTTTTTTTTTTTCTCATGATTATATTGGAAGTTCTTTGAGGCAGAGACTTTCTCTCTACCCACCATATAAAGTACCATGCATGCTGCTCATGACACTAAAAATTTTAATAAAGACATGGGCGATTGGTACCTCCTGAGACAGGGCGGGGCTGTTGCCCTCCCAGCAGACAGTCAGCAACTAGGGGAAATCCACCCACGGCCAATCCTGCCAACCCGCAAATGGCAGCAGTGTGCTGCTGGCACTTCCAGGTAAACATGATCAGCTGCAGGGGGACTGCTTCTGGCACCCCCACCCCCAGCCAGCACTCTTGGGGGGGCTGGGGGGGAGCACCAGCACTTTTGCCTGTCCTCCCATTCCGGGGAATGCTAGCTGTTGAAGTGCACCAGCACTCTCAGGGGATGCAAGTGCACCCCCTATGTGTTGCCACTGAATAATGATGTATTTAAGCTCTGGCATCCTGGTGAAGAGTCTCAGCTGAGGAAAGCTAAATTTACCTCTGAGAGCAGTCAAAAGGATGAATATATGCTGTTTCTATATGGATAGCTACATGCTACTCTGCTTCACTGCCCCTTCTGCAGTTGTGAGACAGTGAGTTTCTAGTCTGCATCCTGTCTCTTCCTCTCAGCCCCTCCTGCACGCACATTGTTATGCTGTGATGAATCTGCTACTTTACATGTGTTCACCCTTTTGGCTGTCTACAATACCACTCTGTGTGAAAGCATATCTGCAGTTACTGGTTTTATTCCTCATTCATTTTATATGAATGTAGAATTGCAGTTGCACTGTAGCCACCAAGTGAAGTGTTACTAAAAATCACAAGGTCAAAAAAACCCCCATTGTAACTAGGTTAATAGAAAAGGTTTTGCATGTTCTAGTAGCAGGAAGTTCAGTTATGGCTCCCATAGTAACTGTAACAGTTTGCTACTATTTTGGTGTGCATAAGGTGTTTAAGTTCAGTTGATCAGAAATATAATTTGCCATTTCTGGATGAGGAAAATTGTCCAACTTCTGCACACTCCCAGCCACACACCTTGCAGACTGTATGCCTCGCTGCGCTGTGCTCCCACCCCGCATCCCATGCCTGCACACTGCACCATGTGTTACCCTGTCCTACCCTGCAGCAGGTGCCCCTTCTTCCCCACTGCAGTGCCTGTCCCCACTACTCCACATATCACTCCTCTTGTACTGCGCTGGACATTGCTGTGCTATACTGAGCTCCTGGGTCTTGGATTTGTCTCATGGCTGCACAGTGTAAATTCATTAATGCAGATGGTTCTAAATGGATGAAGCTGAGGAATGAACTTGGCTGTGTCTAGAAGCTAAAACTTGCATCCACTTTTTATCTTCAGTAGTGAATATAAGCAAGAAGATTGGGGAATGAACTAAAATACTGCTATTTACATGTTTGGTTCTAACTGTTCCTGGACTTGGAAGCTGCTGCTTAGGTATGTTCCCACCACACAGTCTTCTGTCAAGCAGTAGTCCACTTCAAATATGCAGTACTTGGTTCCATGGCATGTGGAGCATGAATACCTTCTGTGCAGACCTTTAACATCCCACATTAATTCCTTTTTTCTCTACATAGCTGTGCAGTAGTTGTCAGGCTGCACTACAGGCTTTTGTCCCCTGTGCTCTCCTAAGGATTTCACTGAATGGAAACAAAAGATCAAGAATATTGAATCTAATTATTGGAAAGTTTCATTTTGTAACTCTAACTAGTTACTGCCTATTATTTATATATTTTATATATAGTGCGCACACGTGTATGTAAACACATTCAGACACTTCATGGCCTTAATTCCTTTAATTTACACACTTGAGAAATGGTAGAGAAAGATTAATCTGTTTGGATGGTTAGCAGTTAGTCAATGTTAAAAGAAAATATTTACACTGTATAAATATTGCTTTTTAGGTTCCAGAGTTCTAAATCTGGAAAGATCTACCTCCACAGAGATGTACGGCTCCTGTTCTCTCGGAAGTCCATGGAAGTTGATAGTGGCGCTGCATATGAACTCAAATCGTACACTGAATCTCCAATAAACCCTCAATTCTCACCAAGATGTTAGCAAATAATGAAAATGGAAGTATTCATTTTACTATTGGATTGCTGTCTAAGAACAAAGATTGGCATAGAATGCAGTATAAAATTCAATACATAAAGAAATTAAAATAGTGCTCAAGTGAGAGACGAGGCTCATCTATGATCCTGGACCAGTTTTGTAAAAGATTTCTTGAGTGAGCTTTGTGTATTACAAGTAGACTGGAAGCATACTTATGTCTAATCTTTTTGTACTGTTTAAAACCACTTCATTGGATGTGTTGCAATAGCAAAATCCCAAGTTAGTTTAGTGTTTACACCTTTTATTTTATTTTTCAGTTATTTAATATTTAATGTTTCATTTAATACTCAAGTGATGTTCGTCTTTAGTGTTCTAATGTAGCATAAATCCTATGTAAAATCATACTATGTATTTTTGGCATTAATAATATTGAAATCTGAAATATATACAGAAGTCTTTAAGTCTGGGTGATGTGTTTTTAAGTGATATTCATTTAAGTTATTGAAAATGAGGATTTGAACTCCCATAACATTATCATCGTAGGCAAGCATGTGGATTTCCTCTTGTTTTTAATGCTTTAGTTCTTGATGATACCTCATTCTCATTGCTTTCCACACAGATTCTATTAACATCTCTTTACAATCATAAAGCAGAATGTGTTTTAGCTACTCACTAGTTCAACTCATTGACCCACATTGACCCAATTCATATTTTGCTCCCTCTGTTTCTTTTTTTCACTTAAGGGCCACAATCCCAAGAGCTTTTTTTTGTTCTAGTTAGTAGTATAAACATTTCACATAAAATTCCTCTCCCATACCTAATTTTCTCAAATTGTGTTTAAAAGGAAAAAAAAAAAAGATGTATTGTGCAAACAAATTAGTATTTATATCCTAAATATATGCGGAAACTATGAAACTTGTAGTTTGGTTTTATTTTCAGATGAAGAATACATTTATGTGGGTTTAGGTATATTTGATAGATCTCTTCTTCCCCTCTCTTCCCCCTGCCCAACTTAAGCTAGTAGGGGCATTTATATGCATACATGTAGGGGATGCTTTAATTAGAGCGGCTTCAAGAGCCACTCTAATTAAAGCACCCAGAGTGTCTCGTGTATCAGCATTCCTGTGGTTAAAAATGGCGGTAGGGGTGCTTTACCTAATGCTGGTTGAAGGAGCTTTAGTTAAAGTACCCCCTCTGCCATTTTTAAGTGCGGGTACACTGATACATGAGACACTGGAGTCTGCTGGAGCATGGTAATTACCATGCTCCAACAGACTCAATTTAATTGAGTCTGCTCATGTATAGGGGCCGTAGGTGGTTATATAAGGTTGGACTGTATTAATAAATACTGGAAAATTAGTAAATACTGGGAAACCAAGCAAATGATTTTTTTTTCTCTTCTACTTACTTTTCTAAAACAAAGCACTTCCCCAGATCATGACAGACAGAGTATACATGACAGCCTATTTTCATAAAAACAGTATTTCAAAATAAAGCTAAGTGTTTCATTATTGGTTCTCAACCTTTTTAGGTCTAAAGCACTCCTTGGAAAAAGGCCAGCTCTTAGTTTTCACTTGTTTTTTGACTAGAAAAGTACCAAAGTAATTGGTCAGAATGTGTTTTGATGCTATGGATTCTTATTTGAAATCTCTGGATTTATCTTGTGAATTATGTTTGGACACCAAACGGTTCTAACATTACAAGGGTGCCATGCATAGTTGAGCTAGTGAGAAGCTACCCTTTTCACTTTTCTTGACTTAAATTGAAGCATATATTTAATATTAATGCTTAATCTTTTCAGTATCTTGCAAAAGTTTTTGGATGCTCCCTACTTGATATCCAAAGCCTTGTAGTTATTTTTACAAAGTTATTGGCATAAAAAGGACATTTACCTATTTGCCAGGAACTTCAAAGGCTTTGGAGAAAGGAAATCCTGGCATAGGGGGCAGAAGAGGGGGCTACCAAGGCACAGTGCTCCCCCCACCCCACCTCACCCCCGCAAACACAGGGCAGTAGATAGAGCTGCAGGGCAGCCTAGCTGCAGGCTGCTGCAGCAGAAGGGGAGGGGCATGCACACTGAGATACGCTGTGCAGCCAGGATCACAGCCCTGGTGTGTGGCTGCCCAGCACAGCAGATAAGTTTCAATCTACTTTCTTTATGACTGGGCTTTGGGGAGGGGCAGATTGAGACCCCCACAGTGCAGGAGCTAGTGAGGCAGGGGCAGGGTGAATCATTCACCCCTGCCCTGCCCCACTTCCTCTTGCACTGTGGGGATTGTCACATGACCTGGCCCAGCTGGGGCCACATTTGCTGTGAATGGGGCCCCAGTCAGGCAGGGTCATGGGACAGTGGGAACCTGGTAGTCAATCCAGGGGTCTGGGGGTGGGTGCTTCTGCTGCTGTGCGCATCATGAGGGACCCAAGGAGGTGGTGGGCATGGGCAGAGGCAGGGAGCAGAACACAGCCCGCCCCTTCCCTGCGCACAGATCGGGGGCTTGACCTTGGCTTGACCATGCTGTGCACAGTGGTGGGAGCCTCATCTCCCCGCAAGCCCCTGGTTGAGCCACCAGGTTCCAAATGTCCCACAGTCTTGCCCAGCTGGGGTCCCATTCACAGTGAATGGGGCCCCAGCTGGGCCGGATTGTGGGACAATCCCCACAGCGCAGGAGGGAGTGGGGCAGGGCAGGGGTGAATGATTCCCCCTTCCCCTCTTTGTCCTGCACTGTGGGCATCTCAATCCCCAGTCCCACTCCCTCCTTCACTGCTGTGCGGGATGGGGGGAGATTGAGGCCCCTGCGGTGAGGGAGGGAGTGGGGCATAGGCAGGAACAGGGGCTGGGCTGAGTGGGGCCCCAGCCAGGCTGGGTGGTGGGACAAGAAGAGGCCTGGGGGACACATGCCCTCCCATCTGTGGGGGGCAGAGGCGGTTGCCGTTGCATTCTGTGCTTTGCTCCCTGCTACAGCTGCCCTGGGAGTGGCCGATGCCATGTGCCTGTCACTGCTAGGCCACGCTGTGCACCCTGCCCACCCACCGGTGGGATGCATACAGCATTGCACGGTGATTTGGCCAACGGGGCTCAAAGCCCAGCATGCAGCTGCATCCACCTCTGCCCCGTGCTCAGACTGAGGGGGCATATGCCCCTGGGGCCTCCACTTGTCCCACCACCCAGCCTGGCCAGGGCCCCACTCATCCTAGCCCCTGCTCCTGCCTGTGCCCCGCTCCCTCACTCACCGCTGGGGCCTCGATCTTCCTGCCACACCCAGGCCCTTTCCTCTCCCCCCACTGCTTCCTCCACAGACTTACCTGTATAAGGGAGGCCTGTGAATTATGTGTGCACACTCAGCCCCCACAAATATTTTTTTCTCCCTCTGCCTATGAATCCTGGTTAAACATGCAGGTCTCTGCTCCTTCTATTAAGATGAGAACTCCATAGATCTTGCCCTCTAGAAATCTACAGTAAACCTAAGGGAGACTAGATTTCCTGGTTATTTCTTTTTGGGTGTTTTGTCTGACTTAATTGCAGAGATGTGCAGGACTGATTATAGGGTAAATATTGTGTGTAAGAACAGCAGAATAAATGTGTGAAGGGCTTAAAGAAATTCCGCTTATAACCTAAGCGTGACCGATTCAGGCTGGACATAAGGAAGAACTTCTTTACTGTCTGAGCCCACCAGGTTTGGAATAGACTGCCACCGTAGCCAGTTCAAGCACCCACTTTGAACGCCTTCAAGACACATTTGGATGCTTATCTTGCTGGGATCCTATGATCTCTGCTGACTTCCTGCCCCTGGGGTCAGGGGCTGGACTCGATGATCCTCCGGGGTCCCTTCCAGCCCGAATGTCTATGAAATCTATGAAACTTAGTCTGAAACATTATGAAGAGCTGTATGAGGCACATCCAGAAGAAAGCAAAAACTTGCAAGCCTGGAGTTCAGATTCCCAGCCTAAAAAAATACTGCCAAACAACAAAAACCTTGGGGGGTTTCTCTAATACTCTATAAAGTGTTGCTGACTATAATTCCAACAGGAGAGAGAAAAACATAATGTACTCTCTAGGGTATTGCCAACTCATGAATTTAATGCAAATAACATGTTTTTGGTCCCTAGCTCAGGCTACCTTGTGATGGTGTGAAGAGCTTTCATGTAGTTAGTTATAAGATGAGAACAGCGTGCTCTCAACCAGAATCCTCTAATCTTGGGGAAGGTGCAGGGTGCTGAAAATCTTGAGAGCAGGAGTTTAAGTTCCAGCTCTTCTATTTTGCCATTAACATCCCTATGTGCAGTTACCCCCAAAGACAGCAGCCACATTTGAAGGTAAAAGAACCCGAGGTCCTTTCAGACAGAGCTGGCAATAGAAGCCAGGTCTCCTTGCGTTCACTGCAAGATTTTTAGAGGAACTTGCCAAGCCCTATGTGTCTAATTCATACTAACAGTATGCTTGCCACACCCTGCATCTAGATCAGATACTAAGGTTTATGACTACTGTTGCTTTTGTATTCAGTCTGCTTTTTGAGCCCAAGTGGTAGAGGCTCAGGCTTAGGCTACCACCCGCCGTGTCAGTGGTGGTCAATCTCAGGGGTGCACGTGCGCCCGCATGCACCCCACCAACGTACCCGAGGGCAGAGACGTGTTTTCCCAGGGGCGGGCAGGGACAGCCCTGCACAAAGCTAGGATGACGTTGTTCTGGATGCGTCAAGTATCCAGGTTGTAGCCCTACCGGTCTAGAGGAGAAAGCAATCAGGGCTCGCAGAAGAGATGGTATCTTTTCTTAGACCAGCAAGATTATTGCAAAAAGAATTTTTTTGCGAAAATCTTGTTGGTCTAATAAAAGACGTCATCTCTACTACGAGCCCTGATTACTCAGGTTTGGAGGAATAAGGACCCCGAGGCGGCCAGCTGCAGGGCTCTAACCCCGGGCACACTCTGCGCCGGAGACGCCACAGGAACGGTCCAGTTCCAGGCTAAGTCCCACGCTCAGCCAGTAGCACCGCCCCTTCCGGCCGTGCCCTAGAGCACCGCCCCCGCGCCTCTTCCAGACGACAGACAGCCGCAGCGAGGCTTCCTACGATTCCCATCATGCACCAGGAGACGGGAGTGGATGTGACTTCTTGAAGCGGAGCTTGCGAGAGCCGGAAGTGCCTTCCAGTTCATTCACTCCGGAGGCGGGTGGCGCGCTGGACAGCGCGGCGCGGAGGAAGTGTGGTCCCACCGGCTCTCCGTCGGACGTGCGGCGGCCATCTTGTGCAGGAGGTGGTCGGCGCGCGGCAGCAGCGGCGGAGACGGCAGCGCTTCCTCCAGCCCTTCGTGCGCCTACAGCAGCCGCTGGCGGGGGCGCCATGTCCGCCGAGAGCCCCGAGCCCGCGTCCGCCGAGGAGCAGAAGGTGGGCGCCACGGGTGGGCCCGGGGCCCGGCGGCTCCGTGCTTCGCTTCTAGCAGCCGCCGGCTCCTTTCCGCCGTGGCCCCTGGCCGACGAGCCGCCGCCCCTCCCCTCCCCTCCCGGCGCCTCCCTTCGCGGGCGGGACGGGTCTGTGGCTGCCGTGAACATGGCGCCCCCTCGGTGCTGGCTCACGGGGCCTGTGGGCACCGCTCGGGCTCTGCTCCCGGACAGCGCCCCCAGCCCCGCCGTAGCTCGAGGCGCCTGCGCGCTCCTGCCCACCTTCCCCCGCGCCCCGTGCTCGGGGCTGCAGCCCATACATTAGAGCTGGGGGGGGAGGGCATCGCAGCTTCGTGATTAGGAGCACCTCGTCCTCTTCACCCGGGCATCGAGTTGGCTCTTTCCCGTGTGTGTGTGCGCGTGTGCGTGTGCGCGTGCTCCTTCTGGAGTTGCTTTTCTTTGGTCTGGTCCTTGCCCTGCAGTCTGCTCGGGAAACGTTTCCCTACCGAGCAGTCACAAAGGTTTCCTGAACTGTCAGAAGTGCTCAGAAATGCTGATGTTGCTTGAACTTTCCCCTCTCCTGTCAAAGCTTTGGGGATAGATTTGACTTACAGTTTGAAGTCTTTCATCCAGTCTTCTTGTTTGCTGACCTAATCTGGCTGGGCAGGTAGGAAAAGCAGATGGATTGCACTATGTTAACCAGCGCAAGCCCTCCCTTCCCCTTTCCCCTTCTCCTGTATTTCACCATTTTATATTGCTGTCTTTCTGTAATTAAGGAAAGGGTTAACTTTTGAAAACACTTATTGGAAAAAATATCCAAAATGTATTAAAGAGGTAACCATAATGTGTTCAAAGAGTTATTTTGCCTGTCTTTCAATGAAAATGTGTCAGGACAACAACATTCGTAGGAAATCATGCAAAAACACTTTTTAATTTCTTCCATATGGTTCTGAGTCAAGTCAAGTGACTTAATCTGGAGACTGTTTCTAATGGGATCCTTCAAATTTCAGGACGTGGGCATCATCCGTGTCTAAACGTTGTTTGGAAGTCCAACACTGGTGCTATTTGGCTGCAAGAGTTATTGTATTAGAAACAGGTAGCATAGAGCATTAAGTTAAATCAAAGTGAAATGCCAGTCAGATCTAACACTTTTGATGATTGGTGAGCGCATCTACACACAACGCTACATGGCTGTAGTGATGAGCTATATCACCGTAGCTTGTTGCTACGGTAACATAGCTTCAGCAGGTAAGAACTGTGACGCTGACACTACTGAGCAGTGGCATCAGAAACTACCTGTGTGGTGCCAGGAGTTCACAGTAATGGCGGTTGTTGCACAATCATTTAGTACTTGCTTAAGTACTGATATGGTTAAGCAAGCACTAAGTGACTGTATAGTCTGGCCCACTGTGTATCAGGTCAGGGCACTACGCTGTTGGAGTTCTGTAAATGCCTTTGACAGAAGTTTTTTAACATTTAAGAAACAAGACATTTTAATCCCAGATTTTGTTAACTGGTGGTTCAGATTAAATGTTCCTTCAGGTATTGTGTTGCAGGTTGGGGATACCTGTCTCATGAATGTTTCCCAGTTGTTAACTAATAGTAATGAATAACAACTTTTTCAGGGCTGTTTGCTTTAAAATCTCTTGGTCCTTAATGTGGACCTCCCCCCCACAGACATGTCTACAGCGCCACATACTGCACATTCAGCTGTTCTCTAAACTGCAAGGGAGCAGCATGGCGGTGTTTTTGACCCCTGGATATCCAGGAGTCAAAAAACCCCACACAAAATAAAGTGGAGTGGTACACACAGGGCAGTATACGCTGCTTAAAACGGGAGCATGGTTGGCCAGAGCCACGTTCCAGCTGCCAGCCAGGCTCCGAGCAGCAGGATTGCCACTGCCGCAGCTCCAGGAGGACCCCAGGTAAGGGTGGCCTCAGCCTCCCCTACCCCACCTAGGACAACCTGTATACTAGAGGGTGTGTGGCATAGGCGTTCCCCCTAGGGACAGCTAGCAGCAAGGTGTGCTGCTGCTGGTTATCCCCAGGGAACCAAACATCTACACTCATGTGAATGTGGCCTATATGGTTAAGAAAAACCTCTTGAGAAGTGGCAGCTGACTCCTCTGCTGAATATATCTACCTTTGCCACAATAGTTTGTGTTGTTCGATTAACTTTCATTTCTTTATTTTCTGTAATGGTTTGTTTTGGTGTTTCTCATATGCGGAACACCATGCTCAGATGATGGTTTAAGCCAGCTGTGTCTGTAACCTAGTTGTGTTCCCCTCCTCATCCCTCTGAAGTTAGTCCCTTGCTCAGGTGATTTGTATTTTCCTACTGGCTTTGTCATCTTTTTGGATTCACAATCCTAAACATCTACTAATAAAATTCAATCATCTAGCTCAGTGGTTCTCAGCCTTTTTGTACCAGGACCCATTTGTAAACTTCAGTGTCCAGTCCTGACCCAGTGCCCCTCATTCCTAACCTGCTGTCCCCACTCTCAGGCCCCAGTCACCTGATGTGTATGTGTGTGGGGCATGGAGGGAATTCTGCCAGCATGCAAGGGAGATGCTATTGTTTTCCATTGTTTTTTCCTTTAAAAAAATAAATAAATAAATGTGTTCATCCTCTTTTAAAGCTTGTTTGCCACTCTTTCATACATTCCTGTCACCCACTTTTGGGAGGCTATCCACAGGTTCAGAAGCCTGATCTAGCTAATATTTTTTGTATGTCAGCCATCTTGGCTGCCTTTCAGCGTTGGGTTGCAGTAAGTCTATTTTATTGACTTTGGAAAATTTTTTGAAGAACCTAGCTTTGACAACACATTAAGTTTCTTGGTCTTGAGACCAGTTTTATTTAATATTTTCATTAAGGACCTTGGAACATGTAAGTGTGCTGATGAAGTCTAACAGTATCTCCAATTAAGTCAACTACATAGGGAAAGATTTGCATAGTAAGAAAGAAACGGATTATCTTCATAGATTTCGTAGATGTCTAAAGTCCGAAGGCACCTATTAAATCATTGAGTAGAAATGGGTTGAAACCAACACTATAAAACACAGGGTTGTGCACTTGGGTACTAATAACAAATTTGGTAAATGAGCAGCTCTTCAGTTGGACCTGGCAGTACAGTCAATCCAAAGAGCACTGGGCTGGCAGTGTGATCCTAGAATGAATCGGGCATGGGGTTTCTAGTAAAGATAGGGAAATGTCAGTGCTTCATACAAGGCCCAGGTGTGTCCTTATAATGTACAGTTCTGGTCAACCATGATGGATACATAGAAATCGGAATAGGTGTAGAGGAAATCACTGAAATGAGCCTAAAAGCTTGTTTAGCCAAGCCAAAAATAAAAGGTTGAGTCACAAAAGAGAAACATCAGAGGAAAAATAATTATTTAAACTAAAGGGTACAGTTGACATGCCATAGGTGTAAACTAGTTGGGAATAAATTTAGCTTGGATATTTAGGAAGAGGTTCCTAACCATTAGAACCATCATGTTTGGAAACAGCTTTCTAATGGGAGTAGGAAGGTAAGAGGCGGGGGCGGACAGATGGATGGACGGACGGACTGCTAAATACCATAATTGCTTTAAGGTGGAGTGTGATAAATTTGTGAAAGGGATTATATAACATGGTGGCTGTGGCAGGACTAGACTGCTATGCATGTAATGCTGATTCCTGTCAGAAAACCTTTGGGTGACTTCCGTTTTCAAAGGGAACTGGTTTTACTGAGCTTTACTCCACTTAAGACTGTAAGAGCTATAGCAACCAACATATACGGTCTCCCCTAAGTATTTGTGATCCTTAAGTGTGCAAAATTTGTTTGATCTTGGCTACAGTGAAAAGTAACGTTTAAGAGTCTCAAGCTGGAGAGAATTTCTATCTTGATGAAAAGAGTATTCTGATTTACAAATAACCTGATTTAGTGAACATAAAGAAATTGTGTATGTACACTAATGTATCTCTGTCTTTAGTGGTATATATATAGTGAATGCCAAATTTGGAGGAGGAAGATAAAGGAATGAGGCCATAGTCTCAAAATGTTGAATCATTTGGTCTTTTCTATCACAACCGTGTTACTCAGTCTTATTTTATCAGCCTTTGAAAATCTATTGGGATGTGCCTCCAACTAATTATAGGTAATATTTCATATTCCGTAAAAGGCCAGCATCGATAAATGTTCTGTTGTTGCCCTGTAAATGAGGGCAGGCAAGGTTGAAGAGCTGAGCTGTCCTGATATTTTTATCCACTGTGGGATGATGCTAATCTGTCATAGCAATATGCAGTAATGGAAGATGAGTCTGCTTTACGTAGACATGCTTCTACATATCTCTTGGGCAGTTTTATGCATGGAAGTTGGAAAAGGTCTAGTGGCACTTCTGTGGACTCAAGAGTATGGATGCTGCTAGTGGAGGGCTAACATAAACTGAGAAATAGTCTGCTTCATGAAATATACAAACCAATAGGAAAGTAGTCTAACTTGAGCCCTGCTAAGACAGCAGAATACTTTCTTCCTCCTCCTCCCCTCTTTCCC